TCCTTTCGAAGCGCCAGTGCTATTCCAGAAGAAGCATGATGGGAGTTTACGCTTATGTGTTGACTACAGGGCCCTGAACAAAGTCACCGTAAGAAACAAATATCCTATCCCGCTTATAGCAGACTTATTTGATCAATTGAGTCGGGCCAAGTACTTCTTCAAACTGGACCTGAGATCTGGATACCATCAGATCAGAATCGTTGAGGGAGATGAGCCAAAGACCACTTGTATAACACGGTATGACGCATTTGAATTTCTTGTTATGCCCTTTAGACTAACCAATGCTCCTGCCACATTTTGTACATTGATGAATCAGGTGTTCCATGACTACCTTGACAAATTTGTAGTCATTTATTTAGACGATATAGTGGTGTACGCTCCACCTTGGAAGAACATCAAGAACACCTACGCCGGGTATTTAAAAGGCTGCAGGACCACCGGTTATATGTAAAAAGGGAGAAATACGCGTTTGCTCAGACCCAAATCCACTTCTTCGGTCACATTGTCGAACGTGGCCACATTTGAATGGACATGAAAAAGGTTAGGGCCATCAAGGAGTGGACAACACCAAAGAATGTTAGTGAACTCCGTTCATTTTTGGGACTAGCCAACTATTATAGAAGGTTTGTGGAAGGATACTCTCACAAGACCACGACCCTCACGGAGTTATTGAAGAAAGACCATAAATGATGTTGGACCAACAAGTGCCAAGAGGCTTTTGAGAGATTAAAAGATGCTATTATGAAAGATCCCATCTTAGCTCTCTCCGATATTGAAAAGCCTTTTGAAGTTCAGACGGATGCATCAGATTTTGCTATTGGAGGTTTGCTTTTACAACAATATCACCCGATAGCATTTGAAAGTAGGAACTAAGGGAAGCGGAGAGGAAATATACGACCCAGGAAAAAGAGCTCCTGGCGGTGGTTCATTGCTTGAGGGCTTGGCGACATTACTTGCTGGGTTCACACTTTGTCGTGAAGACGGACAATGCAGTCGTTAGCCACTTTCTCACCCAACCAAGGCTTACGGCAAACAAGCTAGGTGGCAAAAATTTTTAACGGAGTTCGACTTTCACCTTGAGCATACCGCTGAAAAGACCAATCAAGTGGCGGATGCATTGAACAGGTGACCAGAGTTGGCGGCCCTCAGAAGAATGGCCCCAATGGCAACTAGTAGAGCCATTACGGACAATCATAAGTTGATTAGAGATCATCTAAGAAAGGACCCGCAAGCCTGTGCCATCTTGAAGCTAGTAGAAGAAAGGAAGTCCAAATACTTCTGGCAAGAAATGGTGTCTTGTGGACCAAAGGGCCTCGAGTGTTTGTGCCGAGAGCAGGAGGGCTGAGACAGATGCTGATGAAGGAATGCCATGACACCTCATGGGTGGGACACCCAGGCTGGCAACGTATTTTAGCGTTACTGAAACAAGGATACTATTGGCCCCACATGCGACAAGATGTGATGGACTACACGAAGACTTGCCTCATTTGCCAACAAGACAAAGTCGAAAAGAAGAAACCTGCGGGCATGCTGGAACCATTACCAGTACCCACCAAACCGTGGGAAAGCATCTCCTTCGATTTCATTTTGAGCCTACCCAAGGTTGGGGATCTTGAAACTATCTTGGTGGTAAATGACCGGTTCTCCAAGTATGCCACATTCATCCCCGCTCACAAGTATTGTACAGCAAAAGACACAGCTCGACTATTGTTCAAACATGTGGTCAAATATTGAGGCATCCCTCAAAACATCATCAGTGATAGAGATTCGAGATTCACGAGGTCATTTTGGAGGGAACTTTTCAAGATTTTAGGGTCCCAACTCAACATCTCTTCGAGCTACCATCCTCAAACCGATGGCCAAACGGAACGTTCAATGGATTGTTGGAGGAATATTTGAGGCACTTTGTCCAAGCCAACCAAAAAGACTGGCCTTCATTGTTGGACGTTGCTCAACTTTGCTTTAATTCAAACAAGAGCTTTTCCACTAACGAGAGCCCATTTGAGGTGGTCACCGGACAACTACCAAGGCTACCCATACTTCCTTGGAACAATATGAAGGAAAAAATTCGAGAGCTTTCAACTTAAGCAAGGAGTGGAAACAAAACACAGAGATTGCACAAAGCTTACCTGGAGAAGGCATCAAAGCGGATGAAAAAATGGGCAGACAAGAATCGCAGAGCTCAGCAATTCCAAGTTGGTGATTTGGTTTTGGTCCGACTAGTTCCAGAACAAACCAGGTTCTTAAGAAAGAGAGATCGTAGACTGGTGCGCAAATATGAAGGTCCAGTAAGAGTCATTTCCAAGGTAGGGAACGCTTCTTACAAAATCGACCCACCAAAGTGGATGAAGGTGCACCTAGTATTTCATGTAAGCAACCTGAAGCCTTTCCATGCAGATCCTACAGATATTAACCGAATGGAGCCAACCAGAGCAGCCATCACCATGAAGCCACCCTCAGAGCGTCGAGTCGAAGAGATCTTAGCCGACAGGGAAACCAAGATATCTCGAAGACTAGTTCGGGAGTACTTAGTGAAATGGGAGGGCTTAGGACTAGAAGAAACCAGCTGGGAGAGAGAACACGACCTCCAGAGATTTCAAAGGAAGATCGAAGAGTTTCAAGCCAACAAGTCAACGAGGACGTCGATAGAATAGGTGGGGGAAGATGTCATGAGCCACCCTTGTATAGGGCCATGGTCGGGTAGATCCCTTGTACTAGGAAAAGTGTCCCCATTTCAAACATTGTAACGGTTACTGGTAGCATAGCTCTAAAAGTTCTCAAGCTCTTTAGGGGGGTGAGCCGGCAGCGTAGTGTTGGGCTGTCTCACCGGGTGCTATGTGAGCTTAGGCCACCCACCAAGGGTTGCCCCCCTGGCCATGGTGATGGTGGGAGGTCCCGATGTATGATTCCCGTTTATAATAAAATTCACCCCGATTGAATGCCCGATTGTTGCCTCGATGTGTTTCTTTCTTTCTCAATGTGAATGTGCCTTGTTGTGTGTGTATGCTTGAGATTGACCTCGATATATTGTGCCTTATTGTGAATGCTTGAGACTAACTATGATTTATGATTATTTGTTCAGATCTCGATCTATTAAAGGCTGATTTGGTGAAAGCGTCCATTCAAGTGCCACACGGGCTAGTATTTGTTGAGAGAAAGCTTAGTCCGTGACACTCATCCTAATGCTACTCAGAACATTCAGAATTTAACTCTTTTACAGGCTTCTACAGCAGATATCATCAAATACCGCCTTGATAATCCTCAATACCGGAGGTCTGTATCTAGATTGGATTTTCGAACACTTAACCTTGATAAGATATCAAAACTCTTTGGAATTGGAGCAAAGAATAGGTGATGGGACATGATCTCTCCATTTGGCTCCAATTATTATGTAATTAGAAGAAATAACAATAATAATAATAATAATAATAATAATAATAATAATAATAATAATAATAATGAGGATGATAATGAAGATGATGATTAATGAAATATGTTAATTATATATTTGGTATGTATCTTGAATTATAAAAGGATTTTTAATTTGATAAATTAAGAAAGATATTCACGATCAGATATTCAAACTTTGATTTCGACAATCAAATTGTATCTACGACCAGTTTCCATTGTCAAGCGGGTGATGCGTCCAAGTAGACTTAATAATGGCCTAAATGGATTTCTTTAATGCATCCCTCAGCTTAGCAATCCAACCATGATCAGCTACTAGCACCTTAGAAGGGATACGCACAAAATTTATACTTAAGGTAGGATCCTCTTAGCAAGTAAGTTCTTCCAACCTATCCATTATTAACTACTCAAATCCTGTCTCGAGTATTCGGTAATCGTAGTTGGTAATCGCAGCAGCACCTTTGCAGTCAAACTACTCTAGCAGCATCCATCCAGACAGTTTTGGCTGCAGAGCGATGAAAGCAAAATAGTCATGATAGCACAATGTGAAAGATTGAGAATGCACCAGCTTATAACTGAAAGCATCCCTTTAAGCTCAGTATCTAGAATGAGCTACACGTTATTTGAAATCTATATCAGGAGTTGGCCAATATGGGGCGCATATCCAGTACGCTTTATATGTACCTATATGAACCACTGTCCATTGGATCAATTGAAATTGCCCTTTTTGCTGCATATTTCCTTAATTCGACATTACCAGCAATCCGATTTGCACCAAGTAAGGTCCTCCACAGCATTGTCTCAAAAATGAATGCCTTTGCTTCGTATAATTTACCAACATGGCCCAACAGAGATAACGTACAAGCATAATGTTCTGTCCCAGGTTCAACTCCAAATGTAGGCATTGACTCAAAGTGATGGAGTCCAAGCTCCACAAATCCTGCATGCAAACATGCTAAGAGCAGACCAACAAATGTCACATATTGGGTTTCATTCTTCTTTCAGCATTCTTTCAAATGTCTGAGGACCGCCTTCAGCTTCTTCATGATAAGCAAACGTTGAGATCATGGAATTCCAACATACGACAACCCTCCAAATAGTGGAATTAAATGTTTTCTATAAAATTTACACTTACAAGTTAAATAGTATTTTTACATAAATTTTTATTATAATTTTAAACGATTTTAAAATTATAATAAAAATGATTATAACTGAAATCTGTGGAGAAATCAAAGCCTTTTTTATTTGTTGATTTGTGAATGTTTTTGAGATGTAATAGATTATAGAAACGGTTTCTCATTCTTTTGGGAGGGAGAAACGAGATTTCGTGATTCTTCTCGATCTCAATCCTCAAGTTTCATCGGTCCACTGGGAACGAAACCTCGTGCCAATCACGTGACGGACCAATTGAAGTTGGAAAAAAAATGTCCATTTAAAAAAAATAAAGAATATCCAAGTTAAAGAAAAAAAGTAGACACGTGGCAGAACGAGGGTAAATGACAACTACCCCCAAGAATTTTCACATGAGTGTAACCACTCACCCCCCCTTCCTTACTTCCTCCACTCATTTCTTACTAGGATAGTGGTTGCAACCAACCCCCTTCGCCGGAGATAGGTAGGTGTGCATGCGCTCCCTCCACGTCATCATTGCAGCGCAATCTTTTTTAAAACAAAAAAAATTCACCCAAATTTAATTTTACTTATCCTTCTCCTTTCCATTTAATTACTAGTAATTTTAATTTTTTAAAAATAAAAAAAAATCCTTACCTATAGATTAAAAAAAAGATTTGTATAGTGTTTCCAAGTTCCAATTGCCGCTTTAAAACGCAACAATGCCAGAAAACAGAGTCAGGGCAAAGAGCGCTTACCGCTTAACACAGAGTCAGAGAGGCAACGCTCTTTGCAATTTCATTTTCTCTTTATTAATTATTTGAGGTACCTACGAGAGTTTCCCTTGAAATTCAATTTCTTAAATTTTAATTAATTAGTATGATTATTTTCTGCAGTGACTAAATTTATCTTGAATTAAATCTGAGATTCGTTGTTTTTTTTTTTTTTTTAATTTAGTAAAACAAAAACTGAAAACTTGTTGAAATTAATTAAATCGAGGGCGATTGGAGGTTGAGAATGGAGGCAGGAGTTGCATGCAAGTTGAACTATCCGACATGGATCGACTCGGAAAGGTTTGGGAGGAAATCGACCGGTTCTTTGCCGTTCGGTCGGATACTAAAGCAAGATCAGAAAGTTCGGGTGGTTGTTTCGGCTCACTTTCCGGTTAAGACATCTTCTAATCGGCATAGATCAGTCTCTTCCGAGGTTTCCTGCTCTTCATATAAGAACTTTTCAGGTACTTAAATGGAAAACTAAAATAAATGATATACTAGTTTATTAGTTTTTATGGTATTATAATTTGATTTATCTTATTTTGTAAAGCTAATTCAGTCTTCTTTTTCTAATTTTTTTTCAAGATTGTTAGGATTATAAACCCAATTTTTTTGAAAGCAATAATAAAACAAGTGCAAAGAAAAAGAATTGAACACACAAGATTTATAATAGTTCACTGTTCAATGTGAGAGCTATGTACACTTTGTACGCGCTGTAGAATTTTTTACTACCAAGAATAGAGAGATTACTAGCATGATAATAAATCCTTAACAATAATCTTCATACAAGTGCGATAATAAACCCTTGAAAACAAAGTCAATCCACATATTTGTTTTGCTTAGAAACAATCAACCTAAGGTAATAATTAAGCTCCACACAATGATATGCTGGAATTTCTTAAAATAAACAATATTTTAAGGTATCAAATTTTAAGGATAATAGACAGGAAAGAAAATTTGACATTCTTTTCCTTCTTGTTCAGATAGAAAAATCAGAGGAAAGAAAGTTTGAATACCTGAGGGAATGACACTGTAAATTTACTATTGAACTCATAGTTCAGTCTAATGGTTTTGATGTACAGGTTAGGATGCAAGGTATTGTTATTCTTCCACTAACAGAACAATTTTTAATAAGGGTGAGTAAAAGTTGGTTTAAACTGATTAGACTGACCAAAACCGAGTGAATTTGGTTGATTCAGTTTGGTCTATTCAATTTTGGTTATAATCGGTTTTTTTATTGGTTAAATTGGTTAACTCAGTGAGTTTTCGATTCTTAAAACTAATAATCGAATAAACCAAATTAATCGACTTTCTAATAAATAAGGGTAAAAAAATTGACATGAGTATTTTTAGTTATATTTTTTCCTGTAAAATATTGTTGAAATTATTAAATTCTTTAGTGATTTAATTTGAAAGATATTTATGTTTGAATTTTATTGGATTGAATTTGTAGCTAAATAATTGTTATTAATAGGAGGAAAATATGATGAAAAATTCGGTTATTTAACCGGACTGATCAAACTAAACCAATTTTGTACGGTTAGGTTATGGTCAGTTCTTTAAAAATTTCTGGTTGGTTCAATTATAGGGTGAATAAAAGTCAGTTAATTCACTTATTGATTTTTTCAACCTGAACCAACCGAACCAATCAATTGCTTACCCCAAATTTTTAATACTCAGGCCATTGATGCTGGGTCATTTAATAATTGATATAAGGTGCTGTCAATAAGCTGCTGGGTTTGTATGTACTTATTGTAGCAGCTTTGCCCCCCAAAAAAAACAAAATGACACTGTAAATTTACAACTTGCCCACTTCTTTTCATTTTCTCTTCATAATCCACCTGATTTGGGCAGATTTGTGAGCCTAGATAGAAAATGTTCTTTTCATGTATTATCTTTTCTTTCACTTTCATCTCATCTGAAGTATAACCAGAATGCATTTTGTTTATACTTTTCTGCCAATCTCCTTTCATTTTTCACTTTTCTTAGCTAGTAATATTTAATCTTTGTTGGATTTCATGCCATTGTAACATACAATGGATGAAACTGGCATTGGCATGTTGATTCTGTGAAGTATGATCAGAATGCATTTTGTTTCTGCTTTTCTGCCTACTCCATTCATTTTTATTACTTTTCTTCAAACTCTATTTAATCTGTTGTTAGATTTCATGTCATTGTGATATACAATGGATGAGACTGGCATAGTATGTTGATGTTGAGATTTTAGCCAAAAGGAGAGTACAACTCAAACCTAGGTGGCTAAATTGTTATTGAGAATTTGAAAATTTTATTATACATATGATTAACCCCTATGATGTTTTATTTTAAAATATTATTTTGTAGCTTCAACATTGGAAACTGGAAGCGTTCAAGTGCCTTATGATGAAACTTTAATGTTAAAGGTATGAAATAATTCCCTGTAATAATTTTAAATTTTTGGCTGATAAAGTATGTTAAGGTGATTAGATACCCCTTTATGTACTTTAATCTTTTATCTTCAATTTAGTGTTTTGGCATCAATTTCTGTTAAATATTTTTTTAGTTAAGACTTCAAACACTGAAAATAGAAGCTCACTTGTTGTGTTGTTGTGCATCTGAGATTTTTCCGCCAATGTTTCTCACTTGACATGAATAAAATTTGCAGAATAAGTCACAAGAGATTGAGCCATATTTAAATGGATACAGTATATATCTTGTTGGTCAGTTTCTTTTGTCCAAGTCCTTCAATTTTATGTAGTCACTTACTCGCTTACTCTGGTAGCTAAACCTTACGAATGTGAATTTGCAGGATTGATGGGATCTGGAAAAACCACAGTGGGAAAAATTCTGTCTTACATACTCAATTATTCATTTTATGACAGGTTTGTACTGCGATTGTTTATCAGGTGTGAGTCCTATAGTTGAAGCGTTCATATAAAACACTGGAAAGAAAAAAACAATATGCTCAAGCTATGGAAACATTCCTCTTTGGTTTCCTAGTTCTTCTCTGTGGCACACATGGTCCTTTGTAGTTTGTAGTGTCGAATTTGTTGTCTTGGTCCCAAGGGCCAAGGAGGGGTATGGGACTATGCATCAATTGAATGATTTGAGCATTGGTATGTTCAGATTAGACTCCAGTTTCAAAGGAATTTGGTCTACTTTTGATACATAAATTGTCTAGGTTGAATATTCCAGAAGTAGTATTCCATCCTGGATGTCTAACTATTTCCAATGTAATGGACTGCTAAGCAGGCTTTTTAATTTCTGTCTCAAGAATATCTTTATTCTACAATTTTCAGTGATGCATTAATAGAGCAGGAAGAAAATGGAATGTCTGTAGCTGAAATATTTAAGCTTCATGGGGAGAGTTTCTTCAGAAAAAAGGAGGTAAGTCAGCAAATTCCCTCTCTGTATGTATGTATGCTTGCATGTCTTAAATGTATTTTACTTGAATTATTACCTAAAGTTGATGGTTCATGTAGAAAAGGAAGCCATTATTTTCCTAAAAGGGGGGATAACTGTGCAATATTTTCATGGCAATATTTCTGGATCAAGTGTTGGAATCTCTTTTCAATTTAAATTTAATTTTGGGGCATAATGCCTTTTACTTTAAATTTAATATTTTGGATTGAATTGGTTTGAGTTTCTTTTTTATTTTAAATTTAATTTATCTTCTTTATCTAAAACTGAGAGGACATGACAAGGTAGATGTCTCCTTATATATGCTATGGTTGAAGATTGTAAACTAGTATTGATCTCACTAAAGTAGGATGTCTGCTGCTGGTCACATGCAGAATCGGATGATGAGTTTCTGTCGTAAAGAAGACCTAGTTTTAAAATTTTCTTAACAAGTCAAAAGTATGAAATTAGCTCATTATGTATATAGGAACCTTTCTATTCTGCCATTTGTTATAGAAGATTATTGCAGACATGGAAATTTGACCAACATTTGAAGTTGGTTTTGGCCAACGTGACCGTGTGAGTTTCACTAATATAAAGGGGAGGCCGTGGTAAGCCAAATGGAAATTTTCTGAAAGATATATGCATTTGACAAATCTCTAGACTGATTTTAGTCTCTAGTGTCACCAAACCATTGCTTATAATTGTTTTGAGGATTAATTCAGTCATCATTTCTGTATGTTTTGAGATAGTAGTTTCCTATCAAATAAAAGCTTTTATATTTTTCTTCCTGTCTTCAAGACTGAGATATTGCAGAGGCTTTCTTCAAAGAAACAACTTGTTGTTTCTACTGGCGGAGGTGCAGTTGTACAGGATGAGAACTGGTACACAGGAATTTAATTAATTAAGATTCTTCTATCTCCATGGGTTCGATTTTCTGTTGCATCAGCTATAAAAGTCCGAAACTCTTCTTTTTGGTTTATCAGGGACTATATGCAGAAGAAAGGAATTAGTGTCTGGTTAGATGTACCTTTGGAAGCCTTGGCACACAGAATTGCTGCAGTAGGTACCCATTCTCGCCCCCTTCTGCATTATGAATCTGGCGATCCATATACAAAGGTAATCCATTGTTGACTTTATTTACTTTCCTTGCGTGGACTTGGTATTATATGATCTAGTGAGTTTTTGACATTCTGACCCTTTTACAGGCTTTAAAGCGTCTGTCTTATCTTTTGGAACAGAGGGGTAAAAATTATGCTAAAGCAAATGCCAGGGTTTCCTTAGAAGGTATGTATAGTTGAATCTGTCTCACACTTTTTATGGTTATTGTTATGTTTGGACAAGATCTTGTGAAACCTCTCTGAAAGCTAACTGCTTGAAGTGCATTGGTGCTCATTACTCCCAACTTGTTTACTTTCTTTCTTGTGATGCCATGATCTTTCTTTCTTTACTTGCTTTTTCTGCTGAATTCCCTTTGTATCTTCATTTGACATGGCATGTTCATGCTTGTGTTTCGCCGGATGGTTTTGCCTTTAAACAAGTGTTCCAATTGTTCAGAAATTGCAGGCAAACTAGGTTATAGAGATGTATCAAATCTTACTCCAACAGAGATCGCAATCGAGGTCTTTCTTTCTCCCTGTCCTATGTTTTTTTCCTGTTATCTAATTAAGATATTGGCTAAATGATATTACTATCTTGTTAGGCATTGGAACAAATTGAAGGGTATCTAAAGAAAGTGGCATAGCCATGGCTGGGTTATAGTTTTGACAGCTCTAAATACGGTGATTGAATTTTATATTATTTGTAGCATAGCATGTCAAAAATGTTCCTAGTTTCTTTCTGTTTTTTCCTATGCGAGCACTGCATTACGTAGTTAACTTATTAAGTTGGGAAATTCCCCATGTATCGTGCTATTGATATGATGCAGTTGTATATGTTTGACAATTATCACTGTTTTGGCTTCTTTTTTTTTTTTTTTTAAATTTGTTCTTTATTTTTGGTTTAACCGATCTCCATTTAAATGGAGACGATGAGTTTCCATTTTAATAATTAAAGTAAGAAAGTTGTAACTGGCTTACATTTATTTGTCCATGGACTCAATATACTTAAAAATTATAGATTAAATTATCTAATATAGATTAAGAATTTTGAGACCTGAAACGTGGGCTTTTATTAAGACAACTAACAGGAACATCACAAGAACCGTGTCCGTGTTTTTGAGACTTCAATGAAATTACGTGGGACTCAGAGAAATGGGGTGGAGCCTTGAGGGCAGCATGGTAGATGGCTGACTTACGAAATGCTATAGAGGATGTGGGGTTAGAAGACCTGAGATCTAGAGTATGGAACACATGGGAAAAAGGGAGAATAGTTCATCAACTGATATGGGAAAGGCTTGATAGAGCATTGGGAATTGATAGAGCATTGGAAGCAAGCAGTGGATAGACACGTTCTCAAGGTTTTCGGTCACCAACATGCCAATAGCTGTCTCGGACCATAATCCAATCCTAGTTGACATGGAAGGCTGTAGAGAAAGGAAGCGGAGAGGTGAGGGAGGAGAAGGTTCTTTTTTGAAACAATGTGGAAGAGAAAGGTGTGCCGTGAGAACATAATAAACAGTGATGGAATGGTGGGGGAAAGGACAAATTAAAAGAAAGTTGGCAGTTGTGAAGAATGAGTTAAGCACATGGAGCCAGGCCACGTTTGGAGGGCTCAAAAGTAAGTTTAAGGTATTGGATGAAGAGTATGGGAGGATAAAAGTAAGATTAGAATTTAAATTTTAGCATTTGCAATTTTTTTTTTCAGGCTATAAATTGTTTTTTTACACAAAAAAAATATAGAAGAAAAGAAAGATATAGAGGAAATTTCAAACATGATATATGTTTTCTTTTTAAAATCGTTTTGTACACCAATTTGGTCATTTAAATTAATCTTGTGGATTCATGGTATTGAGAATGAAATTAATTTTTAAAAAAACAAAGAGGAAAATCAAAAGAACATTTAGCAGCTTAGGTGCTAATGTCGATTTCAAGCAGTGCAATCTTTCCAATTTGGTACTTGAAAACGATTTGGAAGTGCAAGGTAAAAATTATGCAGCTTTCTCAACTGCTTCGATGCATTCCAATACAGTCGCCTTATTCGACATTGCTGACATCAAGGCTTCATGAGTCACCTTGTTGTTCTTCAAGAGGGATCCAGCGAACAGAACCTGTATGAGTTTTACCAAACATTAGCTTTGAATTGTTAAAAATAACGTTATCCCTTAAACCTTAATGGCCCCTATGAGATTTCAGAAAGTTGAAGCACATATATGAAGCTGAAAGGATATTTTCAGATTGGCATTTTGTATCAAAATCAATCATGCATGGCTCCAACTGTAAATTTCAGTAACTTACCGCCCATCTAGTTAGATTTTGCTGCTGATCATTGCTGAGTTTTGGGTTGCTCCTGTTTATGAATCTCTGCAGAAAATACAGTCCAGAGTGAGTTGCATAATCGATCAGCTAATGATCAAATACAGATCAACTTTGGCAATGGTTTGTGCAAAACCTGAAGGGTGAAAAGATCAGCAGATTGACCGACCACTTTGTCATATTTCAGACCCTCTGCAGCAAGTCCAGCCATAGCAACAACTGCCAACCTGACATTCACATTGCAATTAAGTATGTTCTGTCTAGCAAAGAAGCCAAGCAGAGATAATCTTCCTTATCTGTTTACTATTTGTTTTCCTTTTTTACAAAGAACACCGCAGCGAGGATAGAGGAAGATGTTGCTAGTGCTGGGTTTAAACTCTAGATCTACCAATGCCACCTCTTAAGGGTGAATGTATGATCCAACTAAGTTAAACTTTGAGTTCATTTGTTTTTTTTTTCACACCTAGAGATTTGAGACTAGTTTCTTAGATTCTTTTATTATGAAAAGAAATACTTGTATGACTGATGAAGGCATTCCTTAGAAAAGAAAATTGCAATATTTTGAACAAGAATCACCAGGTCCTGCTTACAATATGTGCCTAAGAACATGGAATGGCAGCTAAATTCTTGAGCCTTCAAACAGTATAATATCAGAAAAACACATTCTACTAGTGATTATAAGAGAATAAGAACTTCAGAAATTGTGCAACAATTTAGCATAAGAAAGGGTTATAATTCTTGTCATAGTATAGTCGTATTCATATAATGTAGAAACATTGATAATTCGTGTATTTATGTCTTGTTTTATATGAAAATTGTGTCATCAAAAAACAAGAAATATATTTTTTATTTTTGTTAAACCCATGTATAGGTTTTGCCAAAATTTTAAATCGTGTAACATTATATCATTTTTCATATCATTTTGGTTTCATATTTTAAACTTCCAAGTGACAGGCAGGTATAAACTAACAGATATATATAGCTTTTAAAAGAGTACCTGTCAAGCTCTTTGGCATCAAGCTGTCCACTATATATAAGCTTTTCCAGCTTTTCGTCAATGAGATTGACATGTTCCTTACCAATATCCAATGAATACCCCAGGATCGGAAGGCCCAACAAATAGCCAACTAAATTCAAAGAGAAAATTTTTCTCATTAGAAAGCCGATTGAATCTGGAAAGTCATCGTATACATTCATACATGTAATATATCATGTGATGAGAGAATACTCAAAAAATGAGCGGCTTCATGTCTTGCAATCCTCTCCTGGTAATCAGGAAAGAATGATGAAAAGCCTCCAATGGCAGCTTGAAGAAGCCTATAGGAGCAAATTAAGACCGTCAGTTTGGAACCAAGCATTAGGGACTGATGACTGCAAGGAGGATCACATGTTTAAATAAAAAAATTTGAAGAAAAATTTTCCCACGCCCCCAAAAATTTCCTCTTGACACATTTCTGTCAATGAAATTATTAAATTCGTCAGCAATTTTTATATATATTATAAGTGGATACCTCCAAAAAAGAAATTTATGGATTCGTTATTGATTGACCCCATTGAGATGAGAAGAAACCATAGTGACTAACATTAAAGAAGAATTTGACAGACCATGTTAATTGCCAAGCCCTGGAATACGAAAACATGCAGTAGACATACCCGGGTGAAATGCTCCCCACAGCCAAAACTACTAAAGAAATGCTTCCAATTAAATATGGTAGAAAGAAGCCCCAATCCTGTGGCAATATTATGAACCAGAAACCACTTAAAGCCAGAACTTCTCTACCATGCAGAAACTGTAAGGAATAATACTAAATAATATGCAGAAACCAATTGTGATTTAAATGACAAGGCCAACGAAAGGATTCTGTTTATAAAAATGCTCTACTTTCTTCACAGTGCCCTTCCATGGCATCTCATGAATGATTCTGGCAAGTGAAACAGTGGGCAAACTGTACATCCTTTACCGTTGACATCAATAGAAAACTAATGCATCACCTAAATTGTTCAACAAAATGAAAGAATGGGGAAGTCATCCTATTGTGTATTCTTTGATTGTTTATACTATATGCGCCAAAGAAACGAAAATGAACAACAAAGTAAGAAGACTTAAAATTACCCCGGGAAGCTGGCCAGCAAGAACTCCCAGAAACCCTGTTGTCCCAACCACTGTGAAAAGAAATGCTGCCTGTTACAACTGAAAGATATCAAATTCATGAACAGCAATTGAAATTAAAGTTTTAACCATGTGAAGAGTTAGATTAACAACAAAAGTCAAATGCGAAGTTTGTGATAAGAATTTCAAAATGGTTATAAGATCAGAATATTAATTTTAAAGAGAAAACCCAATAAGCACAAGAAAGAACCAACAGAATGCTTGAACATGACTTTCAGGAACTATCTAACACTAGGAGATAACCCCAACTAGAAGATGAGTTATGGTGGTGCTTACATCATTTCTGACACTTGGAATTGCAAGATTCTCGGCATTTTTAATGCCAAGGGTGGTCAGCTCCCGAAGAGATGTCTGATGTAAAGAATCTGAAAGTCAGGCCTTTCATTTTCTGACCAAGTAAACATATGAACAAATATTTACAGCAATGAACAGATCTATGGTATACATGCACACTTATGCATGCGTTTGCAGGCTAATATTTGAGTGGCACTTTCCACAACTTCAGACTTTATATTGAGACTGACCGTACGACGTGAGACATATGGCTGAGAACTCCATTTCTTGGCCCATCCAACTTCACTTAGCTGATCAAGTGCCTCTTTGACTGCACCACTGTCTTTCTGAAGCAAAAATATAGATGTCAATAACATAGTTACTTATCAACAACAAAAGGACAAGCAGACTCATCATATTTGTAAGAACATTAATAATTCCAAATTACAATCGCATACAGAAAAATAAAGCATAGAGATGACTAGCAGGCAGTAGCTTCTCTTTGAATGAAAGGAAGACAAAAGGAAGTGACAAGTGAACAACGGAATAAATCCTTACAAACATACTGTTGAAGGTGAACACTGATCATTATCTATTCAAAGAAAGAATTTCATGCACCGCAAATCAAAATGATCTGTTTCATTTAGATCAAGAACAAAACATGGAAAGGGAAAGGAAGATGCCAAATTTTGGTTAAATATGGACATCAATCTCCAACATATTCAAGAGTTTTCTCCCTCATTTTGTCTGTTTGATCATTTAGACCTTCCCATTTTAAAAAAAAGTAGGTATAATCTTGACAATCGACGTCTTTATTGCTATGATGGGGTATAAAGATCAATCCCATTGGAAGCCAATTTTAAATGGAACTCAAATTAATCGTCAAAACAACACAACCCTTAATCTGCATGTAAAACAGCAATTTTACTAAAAAGAATTGATCTTTGATAATGAGCAAGAAAAGCCCACAGCATCACAAACTTCCTCCAAATCCATAAAATTAAGGTACTATTTAGGCATAGTTTAACTGCTGGACTTCAGGGCCCATTGGATCGGAAGAAGAAGAAGCAATTTCAAAACTTCCTTTTCTCCCTCAAATGTCTCCATCTCCATTAATCATTGTTAAAGTAGTTCATCAATCATTATTCATTTTTCAATAATAGAAGTTCAGAAGCTACAAGCAAACGATGACATGCAAAAACAGTCCGTTTCAAGTAATTTCAGCCAAATGGAAAGGCAGAAAAAGAGAATTTTACCTTGGAAATGGCGGATTCAAGGGTCTTGAGATCAACATCAGGAGCAGCAGAAGATGATGCTCTTATTTGCAGTTGCAGTACTTCTGATTTCTTGGGTGTTAGCAGCTTAAAACACTTGCCGGAATGATTATTATGATAATAATGATAATAATAATATTGAAAGGAAAGCTTTGAGTTCGACAGAGAAGCCATAGCATTGACACTCAACATTGTCTTTGCCTCTTTCCTTCTTTCTCTTTATTATGTTTCAGTTTGAGAACTGAGAAATAAAATTTGCTGCAATGGACTTCCAAAGACAAAAGAGTGGATAAGGTTGGCGGCGCTTTGGCGGCAGGAGCCGTTATTTTTTCACCACGTTGCTATGCTTCGATAACCAAATATAATTTGAAATTAAAAAAATATAAATATAAAACAAACATGAATTTCACTTATGAGAGAATTACGGAATGAGATTTTTGATAATATCATAATTATCTTTGATTTAGTAACTCACCGTTTGTCACACAAACGTGCCATAAATGCATTGTGAATATAATTATTTTAATAACCTACACTATTTATAATATGACTGACAGAGTTGGTGCCATGAATCTATTGACATCAAATCAATTAAAAAATTTACATAAGAATTTGTACATGTATAATGTTAGTATAATTTTTTTAATTTTATAAATCAGATTAATAGATTGAGATATTTTTTAATTATTTATTTATTTTTTATATATATTCTAAATATATATGTTACCCTATTAAATTCGCATATAAATTTTAAAAACTTAAATGATAATGGATGAGATAATTTTTTAATATTGAATTGTAATAATATTAACAAATACTACAGATACGCACATCCATGATGGAAATGAAAAAAAATTACATGGAAAAAAGTATTTTGGAAGAAAAAAAAAATTTTAAGGGAGAAAGTGAATTGTTTTTAGAAAGAAATAAGTTTTTTCATAAATACATATAATTAAAAAGGGAATATTTTATTTATAATTCATTTAATTACAATACTAAAATTATTTAATTATAATAAAAAAAATTATGTAAAAGTTTATCATTTATATATGTAGGTTCTATACTAAATTTTACATAATTCTAATATTGTAATTGACTATTTTATTATTTGATATTATAATTTTATTTTATTTGTTAAGTACTTTATTCAATTGAGTCCATCACAATTGACTCGTAACACTAAATTTATTTATAAACTTATTAGTAATATAAATATAACTAAATTTTTTTACACATTTGAATGAAAAAGTAAATATATATTTTTAATAAAAAAAACTACTTGATGAACAAAAAAACGAGGCTGGGTAAATTTCATTACTTTAGCTTCGGTCCATCACAGCGGAATTCTTATGGGGTCTCGGCCTTTTGTAGGCCCATCTTGTGTATCCTATCTTTTCATCTTCCTTTAAACACTGGCCTCTGCATTCGGCCCATATTCCTTGTAATGCTCTAGAAGTATAATGAGTTTCAGTAATATTTATTAAATTATTAGTATTTTAAGAAAAATGAGAAAATCACATCCATATTCCATCACAACTGTCGCTTAAAGTTATTTCTATATATAGATATTTTTCAATTAATTATATTTATGGTTAAAGAAAATCACTTAGATGAAATTCAGTAGGAGACGTTCGTGAAATTTTTTATTAAAAATAATAAATAAAAATTAAATAAAAAATCTATACCTATAAATTGAAATATCTTATTATATTGATTAAATATGAAAATTTTGAAACATTTTTTTAAAAAATTTTACTTATATTGCATATATTTTAGATAAGAATTTTTACTAAAAGTTTTGATTGAAATTTTATTATTAAATAAGTATTAATCAAATTTGAATTATAAATAATATTTTTAATATTTTTTTACATATTATTCATCTTTTCAATGAACTCTATTAATTTATCGATTTAATTTTTTTTATTAACATTTTTATTAAATCATTTTTAATAAAAAATTTCATGAAATTCACCTAAAAATTTTCATTTAAATTTCTCCATATACTTAAAACCATTGACCATATGGTTTGACTTTGGAAAGCATATTACCTACAATAATTATATTACAATTAATTGATTAAATTTTAAAATTATGTAAGATTTATCAAAATATTATATGAAATCTACTTTTATAATTGATGGACCTTCATATAATTTTTAATTGTAATTGAATAATTATAATATTATAATAAAAAATTGTAATAAAATGCTTCTCTTACCTAGAAACCATTGAGTTTATTAGTTAATGTGATTAATAGATTAGGTATTCAAGATGACAAAGATTTATATTTATATATTCGTTTTATAAAAAAGTACTAGAGGCGAAGTAAAAAATATGAGAAATGAGGAATCAAATAATAATTTTACTAAAAAAAAAAAAAGGAGATAAAATATTATTTTTGGTGGGATGAAATATTCTGCTACAATAATGTAAAAATAATTTTGAGGGGCCATGGCCCATGCCAGCCCCTTAGCTACGCCCTGGAAAGTACTGCATGCATCTCCCTGTTTAAAAGTAGCTTTTAGCTTCTATATGAAAAAAAATCGAAATTGAAACTCTCTGTACGTTAAGCTGTAATTAATGTAAAGTTGATAGCAAGATTAATAAAATTTTCTTGCACGTTTATCTGGGCCAAACAGACTAAAAAAATTAATTAAGCTAATGTTAAATCTAATCAACTTAATAAAAACTGCAATTTGGGTTGGGTTGTGCATTGGTTTCAAAAAAATAAATAAATATATAGTCCAGTTCAATAGCTTCTATATGTAAAAAAAATAAAAAGTTGAATAAATGGCAAGCACACGTCTCAATACACACAAGCGAAAATTAATGCATGATTCATTGTACAAATAAAAATGAATAAAAATTATCTGTGTTAAGCTTAGAGGTATAAATGATATATTAATATTCGTAAGTTATTTAAGTTTAATTTGAATAAAATTTGGATTCAATTTAATTATTATCAAGTCGAGTTCGAGTTCGAGTAACTCGACTCATCGATCGAATCAAATTCGAGTATTTTTATGCTTAGTTCGAATAACTCGCAAGCTTAATCAAGCTTTTATATTTAAATATATTTTTATTATTTTAATTAATAAAATATCTTGAATTCGAGTTCAAGTATAAATAATCGAATTCTTATCAAGTATATGAATCGAGTTTATTTTTATATATTAATCGAGCGAGCTTGAGTAGTTAGATTTTAATCACAAATTGAGCTCGAACTAAAAAAATAAAATTCGATCGAGTTCGAATCGAATATCGAATCACAAGTTAAAAGTCAAGCTCAAATTTTTATTTATATCAACTCGACTCAACTTGATTATACCTCTAGTTAAGTCATTTTACATTGAACTTACAAGCTACAAATAGTTCATTTCTTCGCTCGGGGATTTTTTTTTGTTTTTTTATTACTAGATTAGAGTACAAAATCTTAGTATAAGGAGAAATGAGAGGTTTGATTTGAAATTAAATTTTTTATTTTTTTAAAACGTTTTTAATCATTAGATTAAAAGTTTAGAGATAACTATAAGGAGATCTTCTCCTTTGACAAATCGTACCCCAAAAACAAGCAATCTTTGATTATTAATTTTTTTTAACTAGAAAAAGGAGACATATAATCAAATATTTGGATAACGAATAGAATGGAGAGAGAGAGTGCGTCGTTACACCAGATTGTCCCAAAATGCATGCATGCAAAGCGTCATATTTTTTAGGATCATTTTTGTCGGTGTAAGTTTTATATTTATATTTTTATATTAAAATTAAATTAAATTCATAATTAATGTGACTTAAAATAATATTTTTTAATTCTTATCATCATGATCAAAAATAAAAAAAATGTAAAATTATATTGTTCTAAGTGAATATTATAATATTAAGATAACAAAGCGAAGACTTAGATTACTTGAAAGAAACGTGGGGATAATTATTATTATATACTAAAAAAAGCTATGGGTAAGTCCACAGCGAAACAAGTTAAAACTAGGGTCGTCTATGTATTTTCTCAAATGAGGATTGAAACCGGTGGATTAATTTTCTATATTTTTGCTAACATGTATAAATTTTTTAAAGGAAGGTCGACCATCTTTGTCGGGACAGTGAAAAGAAACCTTGGGTTCTTGAACTAATGTCTATTTGGATGATTCTTGGCAAGTTAGTTAGATTTGTATAGAAATAAAGAGGATGCCTTTGTTTGCTCCCTGCGGGCGGACAAAAATTCTTTGTTTGATAAATAAATTGTCTTAAATTAATCTTGTACTCCTACATTTACCAACCAAAAAATTGACATAGGTGGAGTGAGGACGACATCATCGGCCTTTGATTAGTTTTTGAGGATTTCTAAATTCCTTTTACAAAGCTTCATTGGATTTGTTTCGTTGTTTTATTAATTTTTAATTTACCTTTGAACTATTTATTTTATTTATCTAATTAAATAGGATATTACACCCATAAGTTTTTTGAATTTAAAATCTTTAAATATCAATTCTAATTTCATAATAACTTTTCCAAAAACCAATCAACTACTTAATTAATTCTTTATCATGATGCATGAATAAGAGAAGAGATGCCAACAAGGTTTAAACACTAAATGCGCATATGCAAATAGTTCTTTAAAGTGAATTTATGTTTAAAAAAATTAATTTAAGAGAACGAGATCTAATTTAATTTGTTATATAAATTATAAAAATAAAATGCATATATCATATACAAATGAACTAAAATTTAACATGCTTTATGCTAATATAAAAAAGTGAATTTCAAATTCATAAATACATATAATCAATTCAAATTCACCATTAAATAGAAATTTAATAAATAAATTATTTGAAAATAATTATGATAATTATGTTTACACGTGCTTTATCATATAATTTATATTAATTTTATTAGATATAAGGAAAACTACTTTAATCTTTTAGAGGATTGTCACATATTTTATTAATGTATATTTAAAAATTTTAATAAATTCATTAAAAATAATTATAAAACATATAACAACATTCTAGCTATGTTTGTGAAGTCTTCATGGACGGTGTATAGAAAACAAACCTATAATATAAATCTCACCATTTATTCAATTTATTTTTTTTTTATAAAAAATGACACAACTTGAAATAAAAGAAAAGTTTGCCAATTTTATAATTTAAATTCTAAATTTATTAGATATTAGTTTTTAAAATAAATATATGAATAAATTTAATTAAATTTTAAATTCATTGAGACCTAATGAAAACACGAACACCCTTAGTAAAAA